AAATCTATTTTTAGTACCACAGTAAGAATATCCTATTTTTGTCTCGATTTGTTTACACGTGATCAACATTTCAAATCTGATTTTCTCAAAATTATATATATTCGAGTATCTGCCCTTTCTACTGCAAAAGCCCCATATATACTAGTAGCATATGTAATATAATGTTTGCTAAATATTAAGATTTTAAGCTACTATTACTAATATGCAAAGGCATTTTATTATATAAAAAAATAATAAACTTATTTTGTATCTCTATTTGTATATTTAAATTTTTTAAAAAAAAATTCCAAATTGATATATTTATTTATACAACTTTATTATTATAATAGTTAACTAGCAGATCTTTTCTATTTATATTTAATAATGTCTTTAGGTCCTTTAATTAGTTAATTATCAGAGACTTGAGCTTATCAGTATCTGTTAATATTAAATTTAAATTAAAACTATTTAAATAAATTAAAATATTATTTGTTATATATTAAACTATAAATTATAGTTAATTAAATTATGTAATTATAATTATACTTAATATAACAAATATGAGATACATATTATTAACTAAAAGAGTAATATAATAAATCTAGATAGTTTATAATACTATAATCAGAGTTAGATAAAGCTTATTTAATATTATTTTTTTTATTAAAAAGAATTGAATAGTATAAATTCTGATTATAAAATCATGAATATCTTAACTTATCATAATATTTTAGGCTTTAATATTTTAGATAGCTTAATATTTCTTTAACTTTGAATGAAGCTATCTCAATAATTATTTGATTAAATTTGGTAAAAAATTTTTTTTATGAATTCTATAAATCTATAAAATTTTAACTAAAAAGATTATTAAATTTGGTTTGATAGTAGTTAAGATATCTTTACTCAAAGTTTTAAAAATTCTTAAGCATATAATTACATAACTTTGATATAGGTTAAAATAGAATTAGCCTATTATAATACTTTACTAAGATTAAAATTTATAAAATATACTTGTAATATTAATACAAAATAAAACTAATATTTTTTGTTTGTTCTTTTTATAACCAAAAATAGTTTTTTTTTTTGCTAAACTTCTAGATGGTATTATTTTTAGCAAAGCCTAGTTTATCACAATTATAAATATTATCTAAAAACTAGGTATTTAATATATTTTATAATTGTTTGTAATATTTGAATAGGTTTTTCAGATAGGCATTACTGGCCTTGCCATGCTATTTATACTCATGTCAACTAATTCTTTTCTTGAAATTAAAGGCCCAACCATTTGATGCTTTAAACTCAAAAATATCTAAAAGCTTAGCAAATTTTTGGTACTAAAAAATTAATATATAACCTAAAATAATTAAATTTGTTTTTAAAGCTTTATTGACCCAGATTGCTAAAGCTTTTTCAGGCTCAGAGTACTTGAAATTCTATTTTTGTAAGCCTGACTTTATGACTATTTGAATCTAAATTAACCCAATATTCAGTTTCCTTTAAAATATCACAAAGAGAGTTTTTGCTAATTGAATAAAATTTAGCTAATTTGTTATTTGTTAAATAAAAATTATTTTTATTAAACATAGTTTTTTTTTTTGAAAGCCTTTTAAAATAGTTCTTTTTTTCATTTTTTTTTAAGTTTAAATATTGCAAGAAGTTTAATAATGAATATAATTTTTTTGATTTCATAATTTAATATATAAATAAATATTAATTTTAAAAAAATAATATATATTTATATGTAGATTATATAATATATATATATAATATTATAAGATAATCACATATATATAATTTATATATTATTCAAGAAATTTGAAATTTATTTTCTATATTTAAAATATTGCAACAAATAATAAATAATAATAAATAGAAAATTTCTAAATTTACACCTGTGTGTATACACGTATATAATTACGTAATATGCATAATATTGTAGATCGTAGTGTATAGCGATACTGCGGGGTTCGAAATGCAGGTGTATGTAATCGAATATGTAATCAATCAAATAAATAAAACAAACAATCAAAACAATACTTCTCTCACCACTATTCGTGCCTAATTGTGTCTTATTGTTCCTTATAAGAAATTTAGATTGTCGCAAAAAAAAGCCCAATTAGTATAGGAATAAGAAACAATGAATCAAAGTGAGTGTAAAACAAACATACTTGAAGAGCAAACTAAAGATCTTTTTTAAACCTTGTTTCTGACACTATCATACCTTCCTTTTCTACCTTAGTTTTGCTTCTAGCTAAAAGATGCCGCAAGAAGCTTCAGGTCTATTAAGTCAGTTAGTATCAGATACCAATATAAATCAGCATTTTTCTGGTGATATATTGCAAGAAACCACGGACTCGGTAATATTTAATAAAGACCAAGATTCACTTAGTTTAAATGTAATTAAACAAACACTTCTTGTTTCAAGTAAACAGACTTTAGGTATCTTAGTTGTATTAACTGAGTTTTTTTTTTTCATTGACACTTCACGTAAAAGACTGAATTTGGTAACGATCAACACTTTTCTTACGATGTGTTGCAAGAAACTTCGAATACAGTAATAATTGATAATAATCAAGACCCACCTAGCTTAAATATAAATAACAATTTCTTCTTGTTTCAAGTAAGCAGTTTTTATATTATTTAGTTAGTTAGATTAATTCTATTTAGTGAATCGCTTTATTGATGACTTTTATTGCTATATGTAAAAGATTGGTTCTGGTAATGATCAACGTCCTTCAGATCTGTTAATACTTGATAATAAGCAAAATTCATTTGATTTAAATGTGGATAACAGTTTCACTTTATCTCAAGTAAGTGGGGTTATCTATGGTTTAGTTCCATCAATTATATTCTTGTTGAATCTTTTTGACATTATTGGTTTTTATCTATCCTTCATAAGAATGATTCTGGTAGTGATCTACATGATATCGAATCTGTTAATACGGATACAGAAGAAATTGAGGTACAAAATAGTGCTTCAGAGTTAGGCAATAGGCTTGAGAATAATAATAATTTAGAGTTAGAAATTGGGCTTCCCTTTACGACCTGGACAGAATTTAAACTCTGGCTTAACCAATTTGCTAAACAAAAGAGTTTCAATTAAAAAGTCCGGACAAGCCAGGCAGATGGAGAAATAATGTGTCGGGTTACTTATGAATGTTCAAGATCAGGTGTGCATAATCCACAAGTAATTTCTGACCCAACAAAGCGACGAGATGCAACTTCACAGCGGATTTAGTGCCCTTGGAGGCTAAATGTTACCTGTCCTAAAACAACAAATATTGTCAGAATTACCTCATATAATAATACTCATAATCATGAACTTACTCCAATTAATTATGAAATGGCACCACGATTTAGAAAATTTACACCAGAAATGTTATCAGATATAGAGAAGTATGCCATACAAGGTCGGATGGATTCCAGAAGCATTTATCCATTACTCAAGCATGATTATCCTGACCATCTTATATATAAAAAGAATTTATATAATGCTGTATATCAGTTTCAGGTTACAAATAACCCAGGTGACTTGGATGCGTCCCAAATGCTTCAAACATTATTAAATTGGAAGGAATTTGATCCTTTATGGATAGTTAAACCACACTTAGAACCTTTATCTAGAAGGTTAAGTAGACTATTATGGATGTCACCATCACAGTGTAACCTGTATAAAAATTTTAATGATGTTGTAATTTTAGACACTACGTCTAATACAAATCGTTTTAGAATGATGCTTTGTGTAGTTATTATCATTAATAATCATTTCAAGTTGCGAATCATTGCTTCAGCTATTATAGATGATGAGACACTTGATTCTTTTCGATGGATTCTTACCACAATATTTGAGGAAACGAATATTAGCCCTAGAGTCATATATATTGATTCCGATCCAGCTATTATCAGTGCGATTAATGAAATATATCCCAGTACAAATCATTTACTATGTATCTTTCATATTGATATGAATATTCGTAAGAAACTTAAAAGTAAATTGGGAGTTAGCTTCGAAGAATTTTGATGAAAGTTTTATGCTTGTTAGAACTCTTTATGTGATAGATTATTTGAAGCACGATAGTCTCATCTAATTGATGAATATCCTACGGCAGCAAAATACATGTTAGAAACGCTTTATATTAACAAAGAGTCTTGGGGTTTACCATGGGTGCGCAACCAATTTATAGCTGGTGTTCAGAGCACGCAAAGAATTGAATCAATAAATAAGCAGATTTATGATAAAGTTGATAGAGCTACGTTTTATGTGACTTGCTGGCCAATATTGATAGCTGTGTTAAAAGTGAAGAATGGTTTGAAAAATTTGAAATTGAACGTAATATATTACTAACAGTTGGATTGCCATCATTGAATACCAGATTTTTTGGACATGTTGATGAAATCATGAAGCAATATTTAACACCTATTATGCTAGGAAAGCAACGATTACAAATGAATCAGTCAGTATGTTATGACGTTAATCGTATTGTAGAATGAAAGCAATTAATAACTGTAAGTTCTTTCAATTTGAAAATTGATCTTCACCACATATTGTGAGTTCACTATAACAAAATTAACACAGTATTAATATAAATAATTTGTATTGTTTATAGGCTGACGAAGAAGAAATTATCTTGGGGCCTCGAGAACAAGAACAAGATACTCAACAAATCTTTTTTCAATCATTAATTAGAAATGTTATTCATGCAATTTTAGAGATATGGAATATTCGCTCTACTGGATCAGAAAATATTGGACATTATGTTGCATTATTAAATGATGGTACGCATCTTTGTACCTGCCTTTCGTTGCTAAACAAAGGCCTAATATGTCGCTATTTTTTTTGTGTTGCAACTTATTCACACTTAGCTACTTTTCATACTGTATTAATTCCATCACACTGGTATCTGAAACCGAATATGAACAAAGAAATGCTTTTTCAACAAATACCACCTATTCTAGTTTGTAGTACATCCAGGCCAGAAGATCACCATATTAGCGATTTTACATTTGAACATTTATTTTCTGCTCAATTTACTCCATGTAATTCTCGATCAGCAACTAAATCTGACAAAGTCATATATGCAGAATTGTTTGGATTATCGAAAAAGGTTATTGATTCAGCTATCAGAACCAATGCATCACAAAAACTGCTTGATACTTTGAAATCATTACTTTATGACATGCAAAATAAAACTGATGAAAATCAACCAACTGATTATAATCATATTACAGTTAATAACCCTATTATTACTAAGCATAGAGGCCGACCACCTAAAAGGCTGAAATCTAGTATTGAATATGAATACACATCATCCAAAGGTAAACAAGTGTTAAGAGATAGCACACATGTTAGTATATCAAACAACACTGAAAATGCAAATATAGTTGAATGTAGTGATAGTAGTGGTAAAAAAGGTCGTATGTGTGGGAAGTGTAGAAAATTTAGTCATTATACAAAAACTTGCCAGGAATAGGTCTAATATGAACAACATTTTGATGTTAATAGTTTTTTTGATGCTTTAGCAGTAGATCGAGTTTTCATATTTACTACATTTGTATTTCTTATGAATTTCTTTTATTTTATGTCATTGTTTTGATTACTTTACTATGAATGTTTTATTGTACTTTGATGGATACGGGCATATTATATGTTAAGAGAAGTAAGATATTAAATCATTATTATACTGTATCGCTTGTATATAGCTTTATCTTAATTCATATTTATTATAACTTTGCTATATAGCTCATAGAAAATTGTACCTTTAAAAATTGAATTACCAAATGCTTCATTTAAGATCAAATCGAAACTAATCAACTTTTTGTAGTCTTGAATTCATTGAATTGCACTTGTGGAGAGAAAATGCGTATCAGCATAAAATTAAATCGATCATCGACTACGTACATATCTCTAGCTTTGGAGAATACAGGTATGTATGAATTTATGTCTCTTTCTAATTCAAGTTAAAAACTTGTACGTATGATAATCATACTAACTATGTATAAAATTTGGTACGTATTATTATGCATATACACATATACATACATACATACGAACATACGTACGTACATATATACACGTACGTCGTGAGCATGTAAACTCACAAGGATCACTCTTATGTTCATATATATTGGGTTTAGTGTTTAGATTAAGTGTTAACGAATACGATAAATTACCTAAAGAAAACTTTGTACCTATTGTAAAGTGTTAACGAATACTATAAATTACCCGAAGTATCTATTAGTATTAGAGTTTGAGTGAATTTATATTATGTTAGATAACGCTAGAATATTAAACCTTAAATAAACCGATTGTGTTATGATACACAAGATAAATCAAGTATATTGTATAAAATTAACCAATCAAATAGTATATTTATGTTGATCATATGATACATGTTTGTACACTAGTGTACAAATAGAAATTCTCTAATAAATAATAATAAATAATAGCAGTATTGTTAAATTATATCACTGATATTTAACACTATAATAATTTTTATTACAATATAAAGATTAAATGTATATTTTGTTTTTATTTTTTAAAAAAACAAGTTTAACTTAAAATTTTATTTATAAAACTACTTTTTAAGCTCTAACAAAAAATTTTCTTGTAAAATTTTAGTATAAACCAAGCTTTTGTCATATTCTAGCCTTTAACTCAACTTTAATTTTAATCAAAATTTAAATTTTGATTTGATAAAAATTAATTGCTTTTCATTTATAATGTTTTTTATAAATTATTAAATAATAAGTATAGATTTACTATAAATTGTTATTAAATTAATAGCATGTAAGTATGGACTTTATAGTATAAGCTTTTTTATATTTATTTTTAAAATAATTAGTAATTTTTTTAAAATATGTACCTAATTGCAGATTAGCAGATAAATATAAGCTTTATTATAAATTGGTTTAAATTATGTTATTTATAATATTATAAAATATAATTTTTTTATTAAATTATTATTGAGCAATTATATACTTTAGTACATTTGCTTTTTGTATAATATACTTTTTTTAATCAAATTTAGATTTATTTCTAAATTATTATTAATTTTTTAATCATTTCACTTAAACTTAATATTTTATTTTATTAAATTTTAATGTGTAAGTATAAGCTATATTATGTGTTATAAAACTGATATTGAAAATTTTTAAATGTACATTTGAACAAATGCTTCTGTTATATATTAGGAAGTAAGTATACTATTTTATATTTGTTTAAAATTTTCTATTAAATATTTTACAAATGCCTTTGTTAAATTTTTAGCACATAAGTATATACTTTATTATGTTTGTTTTTAAAAATTTTATTTGATCTTAAATTATATTATCTATAAATTTATAAATATATTTTTCTTTTATTAAACTATCAGCACACAAATATAAACTTTATTATATTTGCTTTTAAAATTATATTTGATTTTAATATAAATTTATAATACATATCTTCTTTTATAACAAGTAAGTATAAGCTTTAGTACATTTATTTTTGAAATTCATTTGATGATTTTAAATAAGGCCATACAAATTTAATAAATCAGTTTTCATAACCCGGCCGGGTCAAAATTTACAAAACCTTAGAAAAAAATTTTTAGTATATTTACTATCCGGGCGAATTTTTTTAAAAATTATATAAAAAATTTTATATGTTTTTTATATATAAAATTTTTTGAAAATAACATTAAAAGCCAGGTTGCCAGGTCACTTTTAAAATTTTATGTTATGAAAACTGAATTATTAAGTTTGTATGGCCTAATCTATTTATAACTTTATAATATTTTATATCTTATTAGATTATTAGCTTGTAAGTATAAGATTTATTATATTTGTTTTTAGATTTTTTATTTAATAATTCTTAAATTGCATTATTAATACCCGATTACTATATCAAGATTACAGGGTATTAATTAATAATACTCTGACTATGTGAATCAGCAGAAACAAAGTTTCTGCTAGTTCTCAATGGATCAGGGTATTATTATTACTAATAATTTATAAAATACATTTTCTCTTGCTAACTTTATAGCTGATATACATAAACTTTATTATAATATCAAAATTTTTATTTGATTTTAAATTATATTACATGCTATTATAACTTTATGATGTGTATTTTTATTTTAATTAATTAAATTAAATTATTTGCAAGTGATTATTATTGATTTTAAAATTCTTATCTAACTAGTGCTTTAACAAATTATTAGCAGGTAAGTATAAGCATAATTATATTTATTTTCAAGATTACTATTAATTTTAAAATACTTATCTGATAAATATTTTAATAATCTCTTTATAAAATTACCAGAATGTAAAATTTATATTAATTTTTAAGTTACTATCAGTGTTGAAAATTAATGTGCGGAAGGGGTGGAACGCACGTCAAAGAAATTTTCCGCACCTTAAATATCAACAATATGTGCGCAAAGCGCTCATGGGTTTTAAGATTCTGAGCGGAATGCGCACATTAAAATTTTTAAATTCAT